TCTATTGCCCTTACATAGCTTTTTACTAAAACCACTGATGGCAGCCCTAAGAGTTTAAGTCCCCGAAGGGAGAGTCTTGCCTATGACAGGTACCAAATAAATATCCAGTCAAGGAACAAATAAATGAATTAAGGATGGCCATATTTTCTTCCCTATGGAAAAATAATGTCAAAATGACTGAAGACTTCATAATAAACACAGAATTCTAGAGGGAAAATATTTCCTTTTTTTTAATCATACATGGACTTTAGTCCTTTATTGTTTTTCAGAAATTGTTTAATACTTTACTACAACTAGGTTTGCGTATCTTATTGCGTGCAAACTTTGTGATATATTTCTATAGAAATACCTATGTAAATATGTGACTATGTCCTGAGAGCATTGGAATATACAAGGGTATATATAGGCGTGTTGCCTTTTTTTCAAGAGGAAATACGTGAATGCAAAGAAAATATCTTAAATTTCTAAACACTAGTTTGTCTGCAGATTTAACCTTTCTCTCTACTTCTTTGAATTATAGAATCTCAGGACTGAAGAGGGAGGTCTTTAAAATTCATTTTCAATTCAAGAAAGTCATCTACAAATCTAAACCCAAGAACTATCTAAATCATGTTTAAACTCCTTCAGTCCTGGGGAGCTCACTACCTACCAGGATCCCCTCCCTGTTAGAAAGATTTTTCTGACAATACGTCCGAGCGTGCTCTTGGCAATGAGCACACCACCTTTAGTTCCACCAGTGAGATTACCCAACTAAACTAACTCTTCATGGTTGTCTTCACAGCAGAACTACCGGGTTATCAGAAGATTCACTAGAGGCCCTCACCCTAGATCTTAAAATCTCAGTCAAGTCATAACACGGTCCAGAGATTACTACTAGACACTCCCTGTCTTTTTGTTTGCTGATGTTTTTCCAGCAATGAAATTCTGATCTCTTTCTGGATAACTGTAAACTTTGAGGAAAGCCTTCTCACAGCATCTGACCAAAGATGTGGCGCTTCCTCCAAGGTATGAGGAGAGATGAGAGGCGCAGTGGCTTCTGGTCATGCGACCCCCATGAGTCAACTGTCCCCACACCACCTTCCCCAGCGTGACACCTGAAACTCCGCAGCTGCCTCTCCTTCCTAAGGACACCACGCAGGGTGGCACGAAAGCCTTTCTGCCCTCTGTGCATGTCGGGAGCACTTGGCTTTCGTTGGTTTGGTTTTGCTGTGTTGTTTCCCATAAAGGATCATTTGGGTTGGCAAAATAGATGCCCATGTAACGCAAAAGCAGAAAAGGAAGCACTCCCTTCTGGGAGCAGCCAGAGAGGATGTGGCTGGAGGAGGAAAAGGCTGGCATTAAAGGCAGGCGGAGTGGATGAGACCTTGTTTTTGTTGTTTTATGTCAAATGTACTTTTCCATTCTCAAGATTGTTTTTATGCAGGGGTGGGAAAGTAGGGCATTAATTTCTTCGTGCAAAACATGGGGAGAAAAAGGACTCTCAAGGGCTGTTTCCTCCGGCCTCTGCATAGTTCATGTTCGGTGTGGAAGGAAGGAACCTCAGGTAGGACTTGAAGTTTTAAAATACAGAGCAGGTTTTACGACCAGGAGAAACATCACCAAACAATCAAGCAGCAAAAGTAATAGGGACCAGCATGCTGCAGGGAAAACAATTATTTTTTTCATCTCCCAAATGCAGGCTATCTTAAATGGGGGTTATTACACAGCAAGTCGTGTTTGGTGCTGTGTAGACTAGTACAGAGTCTCACATAGTTAGGGATGAGAAGCCGAGGGATGGGTTGGGAGTGGGGTAAACCACTGTAGGAGGGAAAGAGAATCAGATTTTCATAATAAATCTGCCTCTGACCAACTGCTGACTTTGGAAAATTCACATAACCTCTCTGGTCAGTGGCTCCTAGAGGCACAGAGTACAAAGTAGCACAGAGCAGGGCTTTTCAGCTCCAACCTGGCCCCACCGTGTCTGAACTGTGACCTGTAGAACTCACAGGGTGAGCGAGGGCTGAAGCCCTGTGCCAGGCACAGAGCTGGGGGCTGCACTCTTCCTGGTTAGGTTGGTCTCTTCCTCTGTGTAAAATGAGAGGCTCGGGCCAGAGAAATGGGCTTTAGGCTTCTCTGGCAGAGCCTGGGGACCAACAGTTAGGCTAAAAGCAAACAAGCGGGATGAATATTGTTTTTGCAAATGCTCCCAAGGAGAATAGCCTCTCTCTCTTATTTCCGCTTGTCCTCCTTTGTGTCCAGGGGAGGGGGTGGATCTGGGCAACATCTGCAAAGACAGAGGCCAGACCCGGGCTGTGAAGCGGGGCCCAGCCCACGCCCCCAGACTGCAGCTGGTCAAGGGATCGGGCAATGTTCCCTGGGTGAGGACGGAAGCGTCAGTTGCCTTCTGCTTCTGACAAAGGAGTGTTCTGGCAGCCAGAATGTCTTCAAGGGAGACGTTGCCAAGATAATAACTATGGGTTTGGGAAGAAAACTTAGGTGTGGCCGGGCCCAGCGGGGCTTGGGCGGGACCAACAGTAGATGGCGGCAACATGCTTGAACCAGCAAAGCTGCAGCTTCCTGGAGGGCAGCAGCTGAGAGGGGAGGCCCCTCGCCTGGAGACACCCCAGACCCATCGGTGGGCTCAGGGCCTCATTGCAATTCATTCTTTAGAGGTTTAGAGGCATCGAGGTCATTCAGTCCAACCCCTTGACAAGAAGGAAATGCATGTCCTCAGAGGAGAAACGGACTCAAATCAGAACTGAAGCCACTGTTTCATGCCTTCCAGGCCAGGGTGGAAATGTTTTCTCTCTCCCATCTCTTGTTCTAGAACTTCTACCAGATCTACTGTTTCCTTTTTTTCCTCCTACCCTCTCTGAGTTAATCAGAGACTCCACATATACCCCCAAAACAGTGCCAATGGTAAAAACACAGGGTTTTCAAAGGCCACTGCTTCTCCCTGTCGTTTTGCTGAGAGGGCCCACCCTGCTGGCCACCGCAGGCCCGAACCAGATACCCCTGCAAACTCCCAGCAAGCTTCTAACCCTCAGCCCTGGGCCCCACCCCAGCACAGGAGTCCCCGACCCACCCAGGCGTGGAGACTGTCTTTCAGTAAAGGGAAGCAGCTCCAGGTCTCAGCTTCAGAACTTTCTTTGAGGTCAACGTGAACACACTGGCTTGCCCCAAACTTGTTGTTTGAGGGTAGCAAACCTCTCTCCACCTCCCCTTCTCCAGCCTCTTGGAATAGGGTCTTTAATTCTTTGAAATGAGAGGTCTAAGGATCAAGGACCCCATTTTGCTCTCAGCTCTGATCTGACCTGGAAGAGGAGAAACACTGAAGAGGTTCCAGCCTGGTGGGCACATGTAATGGAAACTCAAATGAAACCTAGGAGGTGCCAACTATCCTGAAAAAACAAGACGTAGACGATGCAACAAAAGATTCTTCACAGGGGACAAAGAACAGGATTTTGACCGAAGGACTGTCCTAAAACACTGAGGATGGGTGGTCCCCAAAAAAGAGCAGAAGGATAGGAGGGGGAACATCCTCACCACTTCTCTCTTACTCTTTTGCCCCCTTCTGTCTTTCTCTATCCACCTAGTTCTTTCTACGATTCTAGGTCTTTCTGCCTGCCTCCTCCCTCAACACACAGGCTGGGAAACAGCGTCCCACCTGCTCTCCCTCCCTCCCTCCTGTCCTGGTTGCACCTTCCCCTTCCTCCTCTCAAATTGTTCCTCACTGGCTCCTGTCCACAACTGTGCACCACACCTTCATGCTGCAAGGTCTCCCTCCTCGAGAAGAGGGTGGAGGTTCTTTCCCAGGGCCAGCTCAGTTTCTCCCTGAGCCTGATTCGGTTGCTGGTGAATGCTTTGCTGCTGTCAATGTCTTCACGGACCCAGCCTGCCCTCCTCATCTGAGCTGGCACCCTTTACGTTTAATTACTCAAGCCTCTTTCTTTTAGTCCTAGTGCTGGATGAATTCTTGTGGCTATCTGAGAGTAAGTCCGGGGACCACCATGCCGAAAGAATCTCTGAGTAGATGGGGCAGAGGAGGCTGGGTGGGTCCTCAAGGCACCTAGGAGCCAAGAATCCTCTGTAAAATGCCCACTTCAATGCCTCGCATTGCCTTGTTTCACTAGTCTACCAACTTTTTATGGATTAAACTAGCTGTCAGCGTCAGCCCAAGGGATTTCTCAAAATAGAAATGGTAGAATCTTAATTGTTTTGTTTTTCTTGTTTGTTTGTTTGTTTTTAGAGACAGGGTCTTGTTTTGTCACCCAGGCTGGAGTGCAATCGTAGTCATACCTCACTGCAGCGTCAAAGTCCTGGGCTCAATCAATACTCCTGCCTCAGCCTCCCGAGTAGCTGGGACTACAGGCATGCACCACCATGCCCTGCTTCTTAAAATTTTCCTTTTAGAGACAGGATCTCACTATGTTGCCCAGACTGGTCTCAAACTCTTGGCTTCAAGTGATCCTCCCACCTCAGTCTCCCAAGTAGCTGGGATGACCATGCTTGGCTGAATCTTCGAATCTCAGAGCCATAAGGGGTCTGAAAGAACCAGTGAGTTCAACTTCCAAAAACAAGGAGACAAGCGCCTCGCCTGTGGTTACACAGCAGAGTCAAGACAGCACCCCGCCCCTCTGTCTTCCCAGTCAGCTGTCTTCCATCTGCTCCAGGATTCTTGCCACAGTTTTAACCGGTGCTGAAAGGGCTCTCTATGTTAACTGCCCTGTTTGAAGAAATAATTCATGAAAGAGGCTCAGCAAATAGAAAGACTGCCACAGCCACATAAGGCCAAGGGCACCAACAGAGAGGAGTCCATTGTAGTTCCAGGGAAATGCCATCTCCATAACAGAAAAGAAAACGTTGACCCCAACATTTTGCTGAGAAGGAAGCGAGAGAAGCAGCAATCACACAGGTGTTCGTGCTTTCATCTTTCTGCTTCAGTATCAGTGAATCTCCTGGGTAAATTGAAGAAAATGGTTTTAACCACACAAGACACCAGAGACTGAAGTGTTGCAAAGAGTAGTCTCTGGACGTGTGTATGTCGGGACCAGGTGATGGAGATTCAAGTAAACCCCTAATTGGAACCATATTTGGGATTCCCTGGTCCAGAAATTCAAGGTCACCTGGGCAGAGCTGGGAAACGTATTGGAAAAGGGAAGCTGATGGTCAGAAAATTCCAGTTCTACACTGGTTAAGGGCTATGAGCTCTTCTCAAGGGGCTGCTACCCAGATTGCTGGCCAGCAATTAGAAGGAGGCTACACTTGATGGACAGCCTGTTCTCATAGTTAGTATAATGGGTGGTGACAATGTATAGGCGTGGGCTACATGAACTATGAACCAAGTTATGGGACAATCCCCAAAAGGCCTAGCTAGAAGCTAGATGTATTAGATTGATCTAACTATGACCTAATAGGTAGCAACACTGGGTGTGTCCCCCCGAGTATGTACATCTGAGAGTCCCAAATAGGCCTGAGCTTTTGTGTTAGGCAGCTAGGTACATACATGTGAGAAGTTAAAGAAGAAACCATATTCATGTGTTTAGAAAATGAAATACCTCCGAATCAAAAACTCTGTGGCTATGATTGACTATGTGCATACTTTCAAACTTCAAAAATGCTCCCTGGTCTTCTGAGACTTAGGCAAAAGAAGAAGGAGGAGGAGGAGGAGGAGGAGGAGGAGGAGAAGGAGAAGAAGACAAAGAAGAAGAAAAGAAAAGCAAAGCTAATGCAATCTAGATCCATCAAGTTGTATTCATTAAGTATTAAGTAGGGGTTAAGTGTTTAGAGAATAATAATCACTGGGTGGAGCAACAACAACAAAACCAGAATAGATATTTTCTGAGTCATTTCAGGCCAACAGAATGAGGAAGTTATAAGGAAGTTGATTTTGCTTGATTTTAGGAACTTTAATAAAATTAGAGCTGTCCTGCCAAGGGAAATGAGCATGGAGGTACACACTGAGATTCTGAGCTCCCCCCATCTGGAATTTTAAGATCTGTAAGATGGCCATCTGTTCAAGATGGTGTAAAAATTAGATTTCTGCATACAGTAGGAGAATGAATGAGTTGATCTCCAAGATCCCTCCCAAATTTAGAATTCTGTGAATGAAATGAAGGATGAAATGGAACCGACTTGCCTCCTGTCCTTTCCTGTGGCCAGGTTTCAACTATGTGCCCACCAGGCTCCTTGGAGTCTACAGAAAGGAGGTTTTGCCTCATCCACAAGTTTTTCTATGTCTTCAGTGTGTCTTTCTCTGGCACTATCTGAAATCCCTAGAGCTACCCAGAGCAAGCCAAGAGGGTCTGCATTCCCTGGGTGGGTCTCCATGAAGCCCACCAACAAGGTGGGAATTGGATGGGGCTAATCTGGTCTCTGGAGGAAGCAGGAAGGGCTGAGGAAGGCACAGTAAGTCCTTTCCACAATCCACAGAAGGGATGTCTTTCCTCTCCCCAGTGGTCTGCCCAGTAGCCCTGGGAGGTAGCCAGGTTCTAAGGATGTGATCTGCTCTGAGTTGGTCCTTTATGGCCTCTTGCCAACTCCCAAGACAGTTCAGTACCCACAAACAATGTAAAATGTGGGGGGCTCTCTGACCAGGGCGCCAGACAGGATGTCCTGCAACCCCCACCCCTGCTTCATTCTTCAGAGTCTGGGTGGAATTGGATCTGCCTCTGAGGGTGGGAGGCAGCAGGAGGAAGAAAATAACCCTCACATTTCAGTATTGTCAAAGCTGAAATCCAGAAAAGCTCCCACAGCCAAGGGACTCTCTCACTACTTCTTGGGGTAAGAGCAGAGAGCAGGAATCAGAATAGCGTTTTTTAAATTGTCTTCAAACTCCAGGAAATAGCATGTAGCATATTTTCTTGTGTATAAAGCTACAGTATAAGGTGAAACACTGCTGCAAATAATGCGATTCATTATGGTTTACACTCCAGAATTGTCGCTGCTTTCCCTGTGCTGTTTAGACAGACATTACTTATTAGTTTTAACCTGCATGGAACTAAAAGATTTGTGTAATTTTCACAGGATATCACCACGATTGAGTTAATAATGGCTTCCCTAGTCCACATCCACGTAATGTGGAAATAATAAACACTTGAAGCAAATGTGGGAGTTCCCTTCATCTTGAAGTGTCGCCCTGGTGCCTACACAATCATCCCTCCTGGGGCAATTTTACAAGGAGCATTGCCTGCTCACACAGGGTTGATTACATCTAAATCTTCTCTCCCAGCACACTCCTTTCTAAAGGAAAAGCCTAACTTTGTCAGACAAGCTGAATCCTGTCATTCTCCTCATCTTGTTTACTTGGGGAAAAAATATACCAGTGTCTGTGTTGAAATGGGCCACACCTTGGTAGACACTCACCCGAAATGCAAACCTAACAACAACAACCAAAAACAAAATAGAAAAAGCACCCTTCTTCACTCCTCCAGATTTACCTCATGATTAGCAGGTGTGTTCACATTTATACAACCACATTTTAGGAAAGAGAGAAAAGATAAGGATTTCAAAATAATCACTGCCTTCCGTGCAGAGAAATTCCACATCCACTTTCTTTCAAAATTTCTCTCATCATTTCTGATAAGCCATCTTTACACTTGGCACTGAAAGGCAACTCTCTGGGGTGAAAGCACAAAGCCACTCAACAATTTTTTCAGGCACAGATGAAGTTCCCCTGCCCCACCCTCTCTTCCAAACCCAGCTTCCCTTCTGCCTCCCCCACCCTCCACATCTGGCCAAGAGAAGTCATCTGGAATCCTCATCAGCTCCTGCTTCCACTAAATGAACCCCTCCCACGTTTCATTTGAAACACCATTTGCCTCCCTCTCTTTCTCTCTCTAAAGGTTTTCTTTTCTTTCTTTCTTTCTTTTTTTTTTATTTTTTATTTTTTTTGAGACAAACTCTTACTTAGCTGCCCAGGCTGGAGTGCAGGGCTGCAATCTCAGCTCGCTGCAAACTCTGCCTCCCAGGTTCAAATGATTCTCCCATCTCAGCCTCCTAAGTAGCTGGGATTAGAGGCACCCGCCATTATACCCGGCTAATTTTTGTATTTTAGTAGAGACAGTGTTTCACCATGTTGGCCAGGCTGGTCTTGAACTCCTGACCTCAGGTGATTCACCCACCTTGGCCTCCCAAAGTGCTAGGATTACAGGTGTGAGCCACCGCACCCCGCCAAAGTTTTTCTTTAAACAAACCAATCCCCCTCTTCCCCTCCTGTGTGGAGGAAAAAATACTTAAATTTAAACAGAAGTGAATAGAGAAGCAAACCTGCAAGAAAAGCAACGTGAAAAATAAACTGAAAACGAGTTATCTATCCACCGCCACCCAAAAAATCCCAGCTAACAACCAGCAGGCAGAGAAACAGCTCAAGTCCTGAAGCAATCGGAACCAAAACAGAGGAGCTGAAAAACATCTGGCCAGTTCCCAATGCCATTTCCAAGGTGCATGCTGTTTCCTCCGTAAACAGTATCCTATCCCGGTTTGTTTCAAAGTCCCTGCTCCATCGATAACCTGAATCGAGAACCCAGTCACTGCCAGACAAGATTTTAGCCCCATCCAGCTGATTTCCCCAGACTACGTCCTCAAAATGCACTTTTCTGAACTTTCTGGAAAATTTTGTCTGTGTATTCACTTTAAGCCAAAAGTTTCAAGGACTTGGTTCTTAGAGAATCATAGAAAAATAGCGAAGGAAAAAAGAAAAAGTAAAGCTTAGATGAGGTCAGAAGAAGGAGAGCTGTTGAAAGGACAGAGAAAGTTTGCTGAGAGTCCCACAGCATTGGGAGCTGTCCTACCTAGAGGGTCTCCGCGACAGAGGAGCTCTGAGTGGTGGGTGCTGGCAGCAGCCCTGGTCTGCTCTTCTGGAAGTTCGCGGCTGCACTGAGGGGAGGGACCCGTCTTCCGAGGTTATAAGTTTCCTCTGCTGGTGTACTGGGGTGTGTAATGGGCGGTTTCTTTTCACCGTGTTTTAAAGGAGTTTCTATGAATCAGTCTGGCTTTAAAAAAAAAAAAAAGATTTGTTGGTAAGCTACGCCCTGCTAAGCTGGCAGTCAGTCAAGAGTGGCTGGGAGTGAGCCATCAATTCAAAGAACCCTGTTGTACACTCTCTCTGACTCAGACACACAGACCACAGTGGAAAAAGGAGTGACATTGCTTCAAATGAGTAATAGGATCACACAAATAGATCTGTTTACTGAAGCCCATTCCTCCTCACCAAAAAGGAGACTTGGTTACCATGGACATGAGGCAAAACACCAGGTTTCAGCCTGGGAGGGGGAGGAAAGGGGCCGGTGTCCTGCTGACTGAAGTCCTAGGTCACCATCAAACGAGATCCCCAGTCTTTCTCCCCCATTAAATGCATCAGCTGCTGCTCACCGTCAGAAATTATCAGATTCCTTTTTTATTTACTTCCCTGCCTGACCCTCGTGCACTGTCCTGTGGGTGGCTGTACAAGGAGGCCCTGAAGGCGAAGGGGACACACCAGGAGCCCTTGCAACCCTGCCTCTGAGTGATGGAGTGCTGATGGAATGGCAGAGAATTCCTGGTCTTTAATTATGCTCTGCTAATGCCCGTGTGGACTCTCCACATTCCAGGAGGAAGTCCTCTACTTAAGAACTTTGCTCTCTGTAATAATCAGCTGGACCTTGTTCCACAATTGACTTTCTTGAACTTGGCCAGTAGCATAATCATCGGACTACCTTCCTGTACCACTCCTTCCCCCCTCCCTCCCTCCCTCCCTCCCTCCCTTCCTCTCTCTTTCTCTCTCTCTCTTCTCTCTCTAACACTGGAGCTGGGAGAAGCCTGAGAAGTCATCTCATCCCACAGCCCAGGCATTCCACTGGAGAGAGTAAGAGCCCAGAGGCCTGAGTTCAAGCCCAGCTCTCCACAAATTGGCTGTGTGACTTTAGGTAAACCACTTAACTTCTCCATGCCTATTTTCTCATGCATAAAATGGAGATAGTAGGTACCTAACTCATAGAGTTATAATAAGAAATACATGTATAGGGCTTATAACAGTGCACATACATCTTAGCTACAAGGATTATTTTACTAAAGAAGCAGCTCAGGCCCAGAGAGGTGAAGTGACTTATCCAAGGAGATTCAGTACATTACCAGCAGTAGGTTGGATCAAAGTCAACAAACCCAAGCAATTCTATTTCTGTTATTCTCCGATGCACCCAGACAACCTGTTTCAATTCAAAATATGCGTGTGTAGTATTTCTTCACTTATTCTGCCAATACGGGCTGCATGTCAACCTTCATTGGGCCCGGTTCAGATCATTGAGTCACAGAAGTGAATGACCTCTGCCTCTTGGAGCTTATATTCCCTAAAAAGACAGAAAGCAGACTGGTGGCTCTTCACCAAAATGTTGATCAAATTCGGTTTTAAAATTATAGGTGCATTTTAGTTTGTTCTGGTCACAGTCTGTATTTCCCGAATCTTCTGTGATGAACTTATAGGACTTTCTTCAGGAGGTTGGGATGTGTATGGATGGACGGTTTTTAGGAAAAAATATCTCAACGTGGGAATGTAGAGAGTATTTTCTAAGGTGGGATGACAAGAAAAACATACTACACGCACACGCACAGACAGACAGACACACACACACACACACACACACCCAAAATGATTTGATGCTGTACGTTCGCAAGTCCCTGAGAACTGAATTCTATCTCTGTAAAAGTAAGGTCTGGATTTTCTCATTGAAAACTGATGATGTGATAAAAGGCTGCATGTTTTCCAGAGTTCCTCACCTCTCCCCTCTCTCATCACTCACTTGATAGTAAAAATGCCTGTCTGAGAGGGGCCACTCCCAGCAGTGGGTTAATAGTTCCTGTAATCTGTGAGCAGCCCAACCCTCGGGGAGGGGAGGGTGTCTGCCCGTGAGGCTGGGGAATCCCAAGGCATGGGCTGGCGCTTCAGCTGGGCTGTTCTCCCCTGCTGCCATCTGCCTCTCCACCTGGCCTTTTCCTACTCTCGGGGTTGCCTTTCATCCCCGATGCCCTCTGCCAATTTTAAAGTCTCTCTT